CTTTCTGGAAAGACTTGGTGAAGAATCTAGGGAGCTCTGGAATTCTAGAACCCCCAATGGAAAAAGGCAATAGGAAGCAATTAACACCCTGCATTTTCTTAATAGCTTACATTGCAGGGGAGAAATGTCTGAAAGGGTATTTAAATTCAGCACAGAATTCTAGCAACCATGATTTTAATTGCATAGCACCTAAAAAAAATATTTCTTTCTTGTCTAAATGAGAAGAAGGCTATAATATATGCTGTCTACTTGTTTCAGGATTCATTTATTAACCTTTAAGAGTTATTTTCTAGGATAAAAACTTCCTTTTCCAGCTAACACATCTTGAGACTGATATTTAATGTAAAACCCTCCCTCCTTTCTTGAACCATGTTAAGACTTCAATTCCCTGTCACTGAAAACACTCTGAACAGTATTTGAGACATAGGAAAGACAAGGCTTCATTTTCTTAATTGATATCTTAAAAATAATAACTTATGAAAAAAAATAATAATAATAACTTATGGGCCTCCTCAATGGCACAGCAGGTTAGGACGTAGCACTGCAGGCCGGTGGCTGCCTCTTCAGTGTGAATTCGATCCCCACCTCGAGCTGACCCACAGGGTACGGCAGACCTCTGCTGACCCGCCCACTGCTCCCCTCAGCAGTGTATTTATTTCCTTGATCTGCCTGTTGTGCTCCCTACTCGTCTCTGGTGAATCCTCTCACTACCCCTGAACCTCTGGGCTTGTGCCCCAGTCCTGTATGAATAAACAGATAAATCTTTAAAAATAAATAAATAACTTTTAGAATTCACAGAAACGAAATACCACTTTTTCTCCAACACACACACACAAACAGCAATCTGATTACTCAACACCAAGTTATTGCAGTCACAGACAGTGGAGACCAGCTTGGAGTTTCCATAGCAATAACTTTATGTGGTTTAACTTCTGGGAATTTAACCAAATCCCCAGCAGCAGGGCAAAATCATCAGCAAAAATTTTGTACCATAAGGCAACTGCCAGCAAATCAGTGAGGGAAAAATACTAGTAGTTTCTCTTCCTTTCTACCATTCGCAACACCTTCATATCAGGTTGTTTGACAAAGCATAAAGGCTTTGTTGATCCCTCTGCACTTAATTCAAAATGTTCAAATACAGGGTTTCTTCCTTCTCCGATTTAAGGAGCTGTTGGAACCCTGCCGAGGGCTGAGGCACATGTATCCCTGGAATGACATTTAGATGTGGGCAAGAACTGCATCTTCCCAAGTTATTCGTCCTAAAGGGAATCTCAATCTGCAGGGTTATCTCTTGGGAAAGAATGCAAATGGCATTTTTACTCTATTTTGCTTTTGAAGCCATCTGCATCATGAGGTGTTTTGTGCACTAGTGTGTGTGCATGAAACTTAGTCTATTTTCTATTTATGGCTTAATGATTAACAGATGCATTTTTAGCCGGGAAAGATTATTGTTTTAGTTTCACTAGTTCTATCTGCAAAGATCTTTGGGGTATTGAGTTAGAGTATATGTGGTTCATGACACTTTAATTGTCTCTTCAGTATATTTTTGCAAAAGCAAGGACTTTTAGCAGTATGTAGTATGGCTGCCCCAAGGAAATGGTTGTCTCAAAATGAGTAAATATCTCCCCTGATCAGGAATATTACTTTCCAGGAATCCAATTCTATCTTGAACAGTTATCAACAGTAAAAAGAAGCTTCCTTTTTGTAACATGAGATAACACTGTTTTTACACTGTTGTTTGTATTCTGAGAATATAGGATCTTCCCCTTTAAGTGTTGTTACCACAGTGCTTTAGCACCACAGCACCACAGTCCACCACCATAATCCTTGTGCTCACTCACCACTTTGTTCTCACTTCTGCCACCTCTCAGGATGCTTCAGTTATAGTCAGCTTCCAAGGCTTAGTTTTTAATTTTGGCATTATCTGACCATGTGGTTAGTTACTCTAAATCCCACCTATAAGTGACACCATCTAGTATTTTAATTTCTCCTTTTGGTTTATTTCATTTAGCATAATCCCTTTCAATTCCAATCACATTGCTGCAAATGGCATTAGTTTTGTCTTTTTGATTGCTTAGTAATATTCCAGCACGTATCTATGCCATATCTTCTTGTTCTGCTCATTTGTTTTGGAGCACTTAGGTTGTTTCCATATCTTGGTTATTGCAAACAGTGCTGCTATGAACATGGGATTGCAAGTTTCCCTTTGAATTAGTTTTGTGTTCGTCAGGGTGATACTGAAGAACACAAAACTGGAACTGCTGAGTCATATGGCAGATCCATTTTTAATCTTTTTAAGAAACTGCTATACTGTTTTCCACAGGGGCTGAGCCAGGCTACAATCCCAACAACAATATAAGAGGGCTCCTTTTTCTCACATCTTTGCCTCAAAACTACTTTCCTATTACTTGCACCAATTTGCTTGAATTTTTAGTCCATAAAATACAAATTAGCCCAAGTAATTTTTCTACATGGCTGTACCTCAAAAACTGGGGCAGCTTGAGTCTACTCTGTCCTATTCCTTGCAGTCCAATCTTGGCCCCTCACCCCAGTATCGCTCAGTGGATTTTCACTCCCTTTTCTATCTACTTCATTCACCCCAAGAACAGGTCATTTTGTCGATAATTTCATTCACTCCACTTTTTCTAATATAAAACTCACTGTTGGCATTAGTTAGGCACATCAAATTAAAATGCCATCACAGTGGCCAAACAGGAACTCATCTGTGTGAAGCACCTCCAGGTAAGGCCCAGGAAGTGGTGACTGCTGTGGTGACATGGACAATGAGTTTTCAGTCTGAGCTTCAAATTCATGCATTTTAAAATACTAGATTAAAAAATGGACACAGATATCAATAGTCCCTTCTCCAAAGAATGCATACAGGTGGCAAAAAGGCAGGTGAAAAGGTTTTGTCCTCTCTTACTATTAAGAAAATGTAAGTAAAATCTACAAATAAATATGACCTTGTAACTAAGAATTACCCAAAAGACAAGAAACACGTGTTGGAGAAAATGTAGAGAAAGGAAACCTGTACAATGCTGTTTGGAATGTAAATTGGTGTGGCCATCTATGAAAGCAGCATGCAGATTCTTAAAAAAAATAAAATAAAAATAGAAAGTTCTTATGATCCACAAGGAGAAAGTTCATATAAGCCAGATGGAGAAAGTCAATTATCCTATATGATTTCACTCAAATGTGTTCACTGGGTATGATGACACTCACCCCTTTAAAGAAGACAAACAGAGGAACTACCTTAAATAAAAATAAACTTTAAGACTACAGAGCCAAATTAGATATTACCAAAAGGGAGTTAATTGGGAGTGGGGTAGAGAAATTGGGACAAGAGGACAATTCATCATGAAGGATAAAAGTCAACAGTGATCTTAATCTAGGCTATATAAATGCTGATTCCCAATGAATATCTGAAACGTACATGTTATAGAACATTATTATTTCAATTAAAAATAAAGAAAGTACTGCACATGCACACATATATCTGGGTCTGCAGCTCAAGCCCTTTGCCCAAATTACTCTGATAGGAAATATTTTTAATAAGACATACCTGGAAAATTTTAGAGTTTAAAGAAACTTTCCCTGATTAGACTGGGGGAACAGAGAGCTTTCTTTATGACATCAGGCCACTCTAGCTGGGTATCATAGGAATTCAGCTTGTCAATTTCCGTCAAAAGTACACGGGGAATACCAGCCACCCCCGTTTTGCAGATTGCTCAGTTTTACCCCAGAATAAACAAGGCCTAGACAATCAGAAAAGACTCATCATAACTAAAAATAATCTGAAATATAAAAAATATATAATAATATAGGCCAATGAGCATGTAGCTTTGAAACAGGAATGAAGAACTTGTCTCTCTTTCTATCTCACCAGATATGCTCTCCCATTCCTCATTTACCCTCTAGTCTTAACAAGCTTTGATTTCTCACATTTCAAAGGAAAAAACATCATGAGGAAGATAACATTCTGAAGTACTGACCATCAGGTGAGGCGAATGCAAACTGGCATCAACTTGTCACAAGGACAAACGTGCTGATCCTTGCCTATGCCCCCTTCTCCTCTCTGTAACTCTGGATAATTACTCCTGACCTCTGTCAAAGAAAGAGTGGGGTGTTGGTCTTTCAGAAATGACTCTGCTGCCCTCCTCAATCTGTCAACAAATTAAACTATTTTCCTTGTCCTCAAATTCTGTTTCCTTTTATTGGCCAAAAGAAACTGAGACTGGCATTCATTAACAGTATTTAGAAAGTTTACAGTGCAAATGTCTGTACTCCATTGACTCTTCCCTTGGCTAAGACCTGAAAAGTTTTTCAAAAACAAAACCCATAAGGAAGTCAGCATTCTCTACCTTTCATTTTCAAGGGAGGGTCTCAATATTTCAAAAAGAGTCCAATAGCAAAGCCAAAAGCAAAATGCATGATGTTTATATCTCAATCTGTCCAACTGAGATTCTCCTTTGAGTTCAAAACTTCTCTTAAACTGCCTGCAAAACACAGGCAAATTGGCTGTCTTTGTTTTAGCTACTCAGGTGCCTTTGGGGGCAGAAGCGGCCACACTTGTCAGTGTTTCTGGCCCAGAGGACTTGGTTGCTCTGAGTCTGCATAGAACCATGGAAAAGAAGTTACAGCTATCAGACTGCAAAATGCTGATCTAATCACAAGTTCAGTCTAGGGCATAGAACAAAAAAAAAAGGGACAGCTTTTTTTTTCAGACTGGTGAAAGAGTATCATTATTTTATAATCATAACCCTAATAGCGCTTAAGGCATTTGGTTAATGACACAGCAGGGAATGAGTGGCCTGGAAGCTGACGTTTTTCACATGCAAACTCCTCTACAGAATAGCCCTTGGGTTCAGTGCACTTGACTATTTAATTACTGAATCTTCATTCATGACTTTAAGCACTCATTTTGCAAATTAACTTAAGCACTCCGTATACACACATAAACAGCCCCTGTAGAACAGTGAGTAAATGATTTCTTGCTTTACCTTTATCCATCGTCTTTGATCCAGTAGGCTTGTCTGGGACAGTAAGATGGTCTAGGTTGCTACTCAAAGAAGTGTCATCACTGGATAAAGAACTCAAAAATCCACTTTCTGCTGTGGCAAAGCTGTTCTCCACGTCCTTACGGCTGTTTGCCTCTGAGGGTGCAGGCGAGTGGATCTGCAGAGCGAATGTTACAGACTGGTCCCCATCCTCTGTGGCCGATGATGCACTGTTAACTATGTCAATCCAGGACTGTCTCTCCTTCCGGTAGGATGAAGACGCACTGCCAGGTGTCTTTGTTGCATTTTCCAGGGACGAGAAAGAACACGAAGCTTCACTCAGGTTGGGTGAGGATGAGGATGCCTGCTGTGCAGCCTGTTTTTCAAAAATAAAACCAGAAAGGAAGTCACCATTCTCGGCCTTTCATTTTCAAGGGAGGCTCTCAAATAGAGTCCAAAGATAGTAAAGCCAAAAGAAAAGTGTATGATATTTATAGCTGTGGGGTGGAGATGACAATGGCATTTCTCCAACAATTGATTAGTATAACTCTGAGTTCATGAACTTTGGATCTGAACACTGTCCATATCACAATTTACCCATTTTTTTCAATCATCTCCATAAACTTAAAAGGCCCTTCTGGGGAATTCTCTGAAATACTGAACGACACCTTCAGCAAAATTAGATTGCAGTCTGTGGCTGAATTCTTACTCGTTACATAAAAGCTCTTGAGAAAGGTGATGATGAAAAAAGAAAGCAAAAGTTGAAGCCAGACAGGAAACAAAATAATATTAACTGAGTGGAGACTAGCCATGTGGGCAGAGCACACAGATTCAATCCCTCGAATAGCTTTCACACATTCCTTCACCTATGATCAGGGTGCGCTCACAACTATAAAGCTGGGTGAAATAATATTAACTAATTTGTTCTTCAACAATCTTAAAACTCTAATAAAATTTTCTATGGTGATGGCACATGGGTGATCTAGTGATGAAAAGCCCACAGGGATTACAACTGAGATGGAAAAATGCACAAAATGATGTAAAAATAAACTATTGTATTATTTATTTTAAAAAATATGTGAACACTCATCACAAACACAACTATGCATAAATGCAAATAAATGTATTTTATATAAATTAAAAAAAAAACTCTAATGAATTTTTATTAAAGAGAATCCAGACGCTCTGAGGCACCTCAGCACCCAGACCATCCAAATCCATGCCAAGAATTGTCTGCCCATTGGCAGGGCCTACAAAATAAATACTAACAAAAATACCCATCTAGGCCCCAGCCAGTTCCTTTCTTGTGAACTATTTCAGTAAAACCTGCCTGCAGTGATCAACTTCCTCCTCTGCAAAGAGGGAAAACTCAAGCTTAACCCACTCCTGCTTCTGTCATTTTATTATACAAAAAATGGGGTATCTGAGAACAAGACAGCACTTTCCATAAGCCTTTCTGAACCTCAAAACTGTTTAAAGGAAAAAGAAAAGCTATGAAACATGAGAAATGGGTATCAGAATACTCAATACTCCGAGACGGGTATTCTCACATGTGGTGAGACACAAAGACTTCCCACGCATTCTCCCCAGCACCAGGAAAGAAATTTGATTTGATTTTAAAATGGAGAAAAGGAGAATGAGAAAGAAAAGGAATAAGAAGCAAAACTGGAGAGAAGGAAAAAAGAAAATAAAGAGAGAGAGAGGTATCTGGTCAAAGGGAATTACATAAAGAAAGAACCAAATATAAGTTAAGGGGGTGCCGGGATTCCATTGCAGGAGTGCAATGTGGAAGCATGCTTCTATGAGGCGCTAGCTGTGTCTATCACTTCACCACTCTGCAGCTACAACAGGATCCTTAGCTCACAGCCTTCGTCCATGTAAGAGACTCATACAACGCTTGACTGCATATTATATGAATATGGAAAGGAGGGACAGTCATATCTGTGGGACTAATGCAAACCCACGGGCGAGGGTGGCCAAGGTCCAGTTTCTGCAGGAAGCCCTCTCCAGGAAGCTCCAGGGCAAGGGCTAACTTGGCTCACGTGGTGTGTGATGTATTCATCATTTTTGGTGAGTCACATGGCAGCACGTTGTTCGAAATCATTTGGGCATCTCCATTTTGTTGCATCTGTGTCTGACATATAATTATTTACTGAAATAATTCCCATAAAAAGTGGCCAGAAGAAGGCACGTCCTAATGGTGCAATGGGTTAAAGCACAGCACTATGGGCTTATCTGCAGTCACTGATCCCCAGTCAGGGAGGTGACCCACATGGCACCTCCCGACCCATCCACTGCTCCCCTCAGCAGTGTGCTTCAGTCAATCCACCTGTTCTGCTCCCCACTCTGTCTCTGGTGAGTCCTCTC